CCCTGGGCTGGGGATGACGAAGGCAACAGGCTCATTCAGACCGAGGAGAAGGCAAACCATCAGAGAGAGGGAAGTGGGTGGGTGACAAAAAGTTCACAGATTCAAAACCTCCTGAGAGGCGTGTAATTCCCAAATCCACTTCCTGTCTCAAGGTCGAGGTGGGAGGGGGGCGTGGGGGAGCGTGGCTTGTTCCTCCAGAGCTAGGAGTCTGCTTTGAGTCACTGGCCTCCCATCACAACCCTGAGATCCCAACAGGATCATTGACCTGACCCTTACAAACAGCCACTCCCCAACTCATAGAAGCAATCAGATACTGGTCAAGTCTTGGGATGTGTACTAGTATTTAACTGGTGAAAGTTGTTTTATATGAAATTGAAGTTATGAGCTCGCTAGTGAGGCCCGCCAACCCTTCAAGACCTAAATGTTAAAGATTTGAGATTAACAGGTGACCAAGGACCATCCAGCTGGGAATTCATCCTTGGGGGAGGGGGTGGGGGAGACAAGCAAGAATTTGACCTATTTAGTTTTGTAAAGAAAGATGTTTTGGAGACTTTAAAGAAGAAGATGAGATGTAGGGATCTGTAAAAGGTAGGAGAGTCATAGGAGGCCAAGATGGGCACACGCCATAAAAGCTGCCCCCCACCCCCAGCTCCACTCTGGCATTTCAATGCGGTATGCTAGCGAGTTGAAAGGCCTTTTCCCTTGCTAGCCCGAAATTTACCCCATTAAAAGGCTGTCGGCCCTTGTAGCTCAAGCCACTGAGTAGCAGCCTGGGAGGTAGAAGAGGGGAGCAAGCTGGGACCTCGCTTCATGGGAACCCCTAGCCTCAGAAGGGAGGCAGCCAAGGAGGCCAGAACCACCCTCCAGGTCCTGGAACTTTCCAAAGAGCTCAGGACCTTGGGCCTTAGGTGGGAAAGGAGCTGTGAAGGACCATGGCGCTCTTTGGCGGCTGGGCTGGGCAGATACAGAGCGAGAGTCCATCCAGCGTTTCCTGGCGGGGGCGGGGCG